AAACCTGAAAGGCCTTATGTAGGCACGGTTGGCAAGTTTTGAAAAGTAGTTGGGCTCTGTCTGACGCAGTTAGTGTCGTAGCTTCGTGTAGAGTTCCAGAGGTTGTAACCCAGTTAATATAGATTAAGGTTCTAATAAGGCACTAAAGCACCAGAGGTGATAAGTTGTTTTGTATTATTTTAAGTCTCACTAGATGTAAAGAATAAGTTTTACATAAATTTTTACATTTTTGTTTTTTATCTTGTAACCACAGTAAGGATTAATGAAATTCAATAACTCACTTTAATATGAGGAGATAATTTTTAAGGATAAGCAGTTAGTTATAAATAATTAAATTAGGTAGTTAGATAACCTTAGTCATGAATTTACGTGGGCACTATTAAATTTTATTTATTTTTAAACAATATTTGTTAAAAAAGCCCTATTCAGATCACGATCTAATAAAATTTTACAGTTCAAAATACATGTAATTTATGACACTGTTTCTTAAATGATATTAGGATAATTACACATTTAATGCTACAAAACATACAAAACATAAATGTTAACAAAATATTTATGCGTCTTTTTAATTTGAAGCCTTCGCAGACATTTTGGCTAATTTATATCGATTTACTTCTCTTTAAGCATCTTTTCTATACGCAAACCTAGTCTCAATACACAAACCTAGTATTCTCACTAGTTTTTGGGTGCTTTATCTTCTAACTTGTCAACCTCTCCACAATGTACCTATATGAGGGTTTACTTGATCTGGTAAAAGTTAAATAGTCCGAAACCCCCTGACAGACGTGAAGCAAATCATGTCTGAAAATAACTACAATGTCAGATAAAGGTTTAAATAAGCGTCTTATTTAAAAAGAACTTAAACATAAAGGCATGTTCTGATGCTAAAGAAATCAATTACAGCTCATGGTGATATAATTAAACAAGAACAATCAAATTCAAACTAAAAATGTGGACTAGCGGTCATTCATTGTGTATAGAAAGAGATCATCATGATGCATGTGGACTATGTGGTCAAAGACTATGCAAATAAATTTTAATTCAAGCTGGCTTAATAACTCTATCATATGAGGAAACAGAGATGGGAAATTATAGTAAAGACTGAAATCATAAACAACAGGGTAATTTACATAATAATAACTGTACATATCTTTGAAGAATAATTTTCTTTATGTATTCAGTTTCTTTCTTCAACATGATGCCTTTCCATTTTAGAATTTTCGGTTTTAAATAAGGATTTCTGTTATTCTAAAAAAAAAAAAAATGTATTTAGAATGTATAGAAAATGTTCGGTTAAAAAGCTGGTGTGGCAGAATTTTTAGAATTTAGTGACACACCAAGCAAAAAAAATCTAGAAACGACAAAACTTTTAGAATTTAGAGCAGGCATTGGAAGAAAATTTAGAAAGGCACTAGGTAGTAGAATTTAGTATCCACAGAGATTGCATCAGGTAGAAAAATCCCTAGCTCTAGTTCTGTGTGTGATGCATTAAAACATATTAGATTATCTTTTAAATTGTAAGTTTTCAATTTTTTTATTCCTTTTATTCCACACCAGTCCATGTGATAAGATTAGAAGCATTTTTTGACATTTTCCATGCTTGTGTCTAATGAAAAGTAGAGAAAATCAAGAGAAGATAAAGATTCGAGTATTAGAAGTAAACATTCAAATATTACGTTTTCATTATTCTTCCAGATGTTCTCCAAAAAGCAAGAAATTCATAGCAAACTTTCTGTAAAATACATCCATTATGTGTTAATACCACGGAGACATTTTTCATTTTGTCACATAGTTCTTTAATTTTCTAGAATCGGGGGTCTATAAATCTAGCCTTCAAATGGTCCTAAACTTTCCAGGCTTCAATGTTTAAGTCCTAAAGAAAAATTATCCCTACCAATTCTGTAACAGCAAAAAGCCAGAAATATTTTGGGAAAAAGTGTAAAACTAATTTTATAGAGGAAACTTACGCATAATCTGAGAAAATTACATGGGAAAAACTCTTACGATGAAAAAATTAGTAAAAGGACATTTTTAATTAACTACATAGCTAATTTTGCTCTTGTTAAGAACTGTTTGTTAAACTGTACTTTAGCAGATACCTGTTTATTTTTCAGAATCAAAATATGTTAGAATAACAGACTTTATAATATTACAGAGAAAAATAAAATGCTTTATTTAATGTATTTTTTAATATAATTTCAATATATTACCATTATTTTAATGAAATTTATCAATGTTACAATATTTTAAAAAATATTGTTGAAAAATTCCCAGATCTCAGAATTAAAAATTTTCTATAGAAACTGAACTTAAAAGCACCAAAATGTTGATAAGTCGTCAAATTTAGAACCATTTAATAAAAGACTTCACATTCCCAAAAGCAGAAAGCTGTTTAAGAGCTCTTCATTGGGAAAATGAATTTCAAAATGCTTATGTTTCACTTCTTGCTCAGAAACTCGAGTATACCACAGTTTATATTAGAAATAGGAAAAAATTATAATCCACTCAATAGGTAACCATATATGTTAGTGAGTTGCCAAAACTATTCCTTCAAAATGCTAACTCACACTTAAAATGGCAGTTGTAAAAACAGACAGAAATTTCAGATGATTAAAATTAAGGACCTTCTGTCGATTTTGGCCAAAATTAAGGACTTTTAAGGACCAAAAATCGATTCCAAAAAACATAAGGACTTTTAAAAACTCTTAAGGACCGGAAGAACCCTGTTTATAACTGGTAAATGAAATTCAATTTAGACATCAGTTGGTGAATTCATCCCTTTCTGAGAGTGTCTTATTTTATTATCTTATGAGGTTTGAAGATATAAAAATTTTTGGAAGTGGAAATATATCGGCTGTGTTGCCTAGTTGCAAGGGAGAACAGAAATTACAATTTTATACATCTAAATTGTCCAGAGTTATATGATTAATAATTGAGGAGAAGCACATCTGGCCCTTCAAACATATAAAAAGTGTCCTATGTTTGACTTTGCTAAATAAGTAGATCAGAGAGGAATAAAAACATTATGTAGTGATAGAAATATTATAAGAATATGCTTATTCAGTTCCTTTTTTCTATATAAAATACAGTAATATTTTATAATCCTTGTTTAAAAACTGCACATGAGCAAAAATATTTTATAAATTAAAAAAACTTTCCTGTCTAATATTAAAGATGAAATATACTATGAGTTCCTTTTCTCACCAAGACAGAATATACAAAGACATGCATCTAAGATGCAGTTTTAAATTTTCTTAATACCAGCTATAATAGTTGCCTCATTTTTAAGGACTTCCAGACTGACAATACCATGAACCAACAAAGAAGTATCTAAATGGAATGTTAGAAATATTTACTTTAAAATAATGTAGCACCATTTGTTAAAGAAAATAGTTCATGACATATGAAAATTTATGATATTAGAATTCTGAAAGCACCGGGAAGAATTAGGGATGAATGCCATTAATTAAAAAGAAGATAAATTTTTGTGATTGTGGAAGTTTTATTTTACTCAAAACTTTTGCCAGTCTAAGGTTACTTAACATATATATGTAATAATAAAATTCCATAGTCAAGGATACATTTAAATTTCTAACTGCATGTTCTTTTCATTTTTAATGGCGACGGGCTTTATTGAAAGTACGTGGAATTAAATCCACAGCGCCGAGGCAATTGTTTTTCCCGCCTTGAGAATTTCTAGAATGTGCTAATTATCTAAAGCGACGGGATGGCTGACTCATTTCTGGAACGCCGCCTTCCAAGCTATAAGACTCCAAGATAGCAGGCGTTGTTCTTAATTCCATGCGTAACGTCACAAACGTATTAGTGATTCGTTGGTATATCTCCGGAGATCGATTTTTGTCGCTATCTCCTGATAAAAAAAATTGATCCTTTTTTTTTTTAAAAACTATCCTCTGATATTTAGCTCGACTACAGTTATGATCTCACAATCTATTTATTGCGACAAAACTGGTACATCACACGCACACACACCATCATATTATAGATATAATATAATATATAATATAATTAAAAACAATCTAAGTTTAAATAAAGTATTGTACGAAATGTCAGGTGCGGTGAGATAAGCGTCCCAAAAGCAGTTTTAGTGTCCAAATGGCCGGGCAGAACTAGGTTGCCCCTTTGGTGACAACTTGGTGATATGCATGGCGATGGAGACCTCTGGAACGAATCTTCCGTTTATAGCCAGAATGTCTCGAACACAACCAAAGCTAATAAACCTGCTGGTCTGATTCCGTGGTGTGCGTGCCTCTCCGAGAGGGTAGAATATGGCTGGCATAGTGTGAAGTGTTGCCTCTAGCGGCTTATAGTCGTCTTGACGAGTGTATGAAGTCTAGTGCCGATTGGTCTCCAGTGCATTGAAGAGTCTTTTAGTGCATCATCGAGTTTGTCTTAGACTGTGCTGAGTGAGAGCGATACCTTGGTATCGTCGAGAGCGGGTGGATATCGCGAAGTACGTGGAGTTCCGGAACGACCAGAGAGTTGGGAGCTAACGGGGCTTTGCACAAGCTGCTCCCATTATGCCTGATAACCTGAAGGCTGTGTCACAGTGGATAGTAGCTCTTCACGCTGGAAGGTGAGTGGAGTTGTCCTGATTAGTACTGGCACAGAAGTTTTGCAATCTTCATCAAGTGTAGCCTAGGTACTCCAAACTACCACCCCGTACGAACGTGAAGGAAAAAAATAACGTAACAACTGGTGTCAGAAGAATAAAAAAATGCAACAGTATGTTAAGAGATTTTCATTCAAAATCTAGATAATTTAGAATCAAAGTACACTGCAAAATGTCATATTTATATTGCAGTTATCATTATAAACACACCAGGAGAGGATTTTTTTTCAAAATCTTATTAGCTATATCTTCTGAAAAGAAATCTGGAGTCTGAAACTATCAGCTTATTGTGTTATTTTAACAAAAATTAAGATCTGATACAACTTTTCAAAATCAAAATATATTTAGTATATTGAAAATATACCTGTTCCCAGTAAACCCTTTTTTTCTCATGTGAATGGAGCTGATATATCAACATTGAACATGATATGCATAAAAGAATGCCCAGTACAGAAAAACTAAAGAGAACACGCAGGCAAGAATACAAGCTTCCATGGACAACTTCACAGTTCGGAGTGTTATTGAAAACGAAACGATGTGCTGGAAATAAAATGAAAAAACAAATTAAATACAGAAATAATAAAGCTGCAGAACATTGCTATAATTTACAACATAATACTATCATATCTAAAAATTTTAATAAAGATTCATAATAGCTAAAATTTCAGTACTTGTGAATGGTAATAGTCTTTAATACTGAAACCCTAATTTGCTTCCCCCATGTATGCCTTGTGAGCTTCTCATGTTCCAATTTTTTATTATAATGATATTTCACTTGCTTTTTTAGATTTATATTTCATCCAGAAACATATTATCTATTTTTAATATGCAACTGAAGATATTGATGCTGTTTTGGTCTTTCAAGAAAAGAAAATTTGCTGGAACAATAGAGTTTGTAAGACTAATCATAAAAAGAAACTTTATACACAACTTACATGGCATTGTACAGTTAATTAACTATGCCAAATTCCTCATTTTTTCCCCTCTATATAATTATATGACCATTGGAACCCCAAATGTTAAATTTGGTAAAGATAGCAGTAAAGCTACCTTTTGTTGCTTTTAGATGGCTGAGAAACAAATTCCAAATTTTCTTACTGGTTTCACCTGCTTAATTATTGGTACAAATTATCACGCTCATGTATTCCCTAATTCAGTATCAATAATTTTAGTTACCTGCATTTACAATGACTCAAAAACTTATGAAAATTATAAAAATAAATATTTTAGAAATTAAAAACATAAGTCAAAACATCAAGAGAAAACAGGCTGTAACTTGGTGAAATTCAGCAGACTAAAACATGATAAATATCACTTTTATGCACTATTCTGGACATCAGTGTATCACACACAACTGACTGCATTTAAGAAGCTGCAATGCTAATTGACAGTTACAGAAACATGCTTTTACCTTCTTGTGCACTGTGATCCCCAATAGCTGACACACACATGCAAGTTTTGCTTTGAGGAGTGTAGACACATTCATGAAGTGTCTGTAACCTATTCATATGAACTACTGTTGTAGTGACTGTTATTACAACACACAGAAGTGCACAAATAAGGCAACAACCTCCAGCTATTTTCATCTATAAATAAAGAAATAACAATAAAAAAAACGGAAGAAATCTACATTGAAGAACAGATACTAAATATTATAAAATTTCACTAAAGAGAAAAGAAAAACAATGGTACCAATAGATTATTTCTTTACCTTATAATGTTTAAAGAGTGGCTCTAGCTAGTTGATTATTAGAGAATGCATGCAAGAATCATCTACCTGCCTTCAGAAAGGAAGACTTTAAATGGAAATCTTTCTTAAATTCACATTACACGTGAGAATGACCATGAAAATCTCAAGCAGCCAAACTTTCCACTGGCAACCTAATCTGAGTTGAATTACTAGGGTCACATGTCTTAGCCAATCGACCAATGCTAGGTTTTCACAAACAGAAGACTTGCGATATTTTGTATTTAAGTTTACTTAAAAGTTTTCTTCTACAAGATCTGGCTTGTTTCATACAGCTTCTGAACAATATTTCTCCCCTCCTTTGATATGGCTATTTTTATATAAAATTTAAAATGTGATGGCATATTCACTAGACAATGTTTACAGCACTTGAATTATACTTATCTATTTGCAGTAAAACATTATGCTGAATCAAACATTATAAAACGAGAATTTTGTAGGGTTTAACTATGTCACTTTAAAATTTTTACACGAAAATTAATATGAAAAAGATTTGAAGCCAAGCTAGTAAACAGACACTTGCATATGCTTCGCTATTATTCTGTTACATTTTTTAGAAACATCAGAGCATAGTGAATGCATGGGGTTATGATGAAACATATTAAATTTTTTTTTTCTCAAAATCAAGCTTATGCACTCATTTAGAAAAAAGTGGCCATCATATGACCTTTTTCTAATTCGATCTTTTTAAATAGCAACAAGCTTCAAGAAAAGTATCACTTTCAATTGATTATTCGTACACAAAATCTAAGCAATAACCAGAAAGGTCTGTAAGACAAAATTTTGGATTATATTGCATTAAGCATAACTGGCCATGTGTAAAAACTGGTTTTTCTAAATTTATATCAATATAATCAAACATTTACTCCTCTATTTTTTAAATTAAAAATTACATTTTATTGGCCAGTTGAATAACATACTTTAATTGGTTTTTAATTAAAGGAAATTATGTGTTTACAAAAATATTTAATAAAGAAGGGTGACATAAAATCATAATTGATTTGCTCTGTTATTTCTATACATGACAACCTAATTCATTTTAATCTTCATATTATTTAGATATTGCTAAATGGTGTTAATTAGTTTTTGGATTACAGCTCCCATGCATTAAGAAGTAAAGCAACCCATGTTTTCTAATTGCCTATTTGCTCTTCTGCTTTATCTTCATCAACATTACAAGAGAATAACAAGTTCATTTTTTGGTAACATGCCTGCATTACAAGAGTTTGGAAGTTCTGAAAATGAAATGCTGTTATAAAAATCATTTTTGCTAAGGCTTGACATAAATAAATAAATATAATGTCTATATATATGAAAGCTAACATGAGCTGCATTATTTTAATTCAAACTCTTAGTATAATGCTTCTATATTTTTCTATGAAAATCTCTTATGAGTTTCAAGTTCTATTTTTGGTTTATAATATATCATAAAAATATAATACATTCTGTTCTCAAATGTGATTAATATCATTGTACATGCATATACCAATTTTAAATACCAAGTCTTAGAAATTTTGGATTATATCCTAAAATATATATTTTTTTTTTTGAAAGAAATCTGTTCAGAGCTTTATGTAAAGCATCATTTTCAGTTTATATCAATTTTGACTCAAATCTAATATATTGTTCCCACTCATATAAAAGTTTTAGATACTAAAATTTAAAAATTTTGGATTATATTTTAATACAATTTTCCATTAAAAACTCTTATGGGCTTCATATTAAAGTACCATTTCTGGTTTTTGTTACTCAACACCTACTCAACTTTTTATATGAATACAGAAAGCTTACATATGGAAAACAGATATTTTGGAGGTTTGATATAAAAGGCAAGGTGGATGGAAAAATTTTCACATACAGACTGGCATAGACATTATAAAAATAGTAAAAACATATTGTGGGGACCCTAATTCATGCTTATTTACTGAAAACATGCTATCGAATTTTTTCGCCAAAAATTTACCTTCTTCAGTATGTATACAGATTAGCAAGAAATAAAATTATTTAAATTTTAAATATCTTCAAGAATCAATAAATAAAAGGAAGGAAGAAAGCAGGAGGTTATTTCAGAAATTTTCTCGGAGGTTGAGAGATGCAAAAAATAAACATTAAGGTATTATTTATACTTTCTATTTTACACACACAAAAAAGGAGATTAATATATTTATAATAACTGTATACAGTGAAATCTTGAGATACAAGCACCTCTACATACGAGAAATTCGAGATACGAGGAAAGTACAAGTGAAAGATTTGTCTCTAAATACGAGCACTGACTCGAGTAACGAGTGAGGCTGTTGGTATGTGTTCTCGATCTGGCTGGACTCGGGGGGAATCCCCTTGTCAGATCACTCAGTGTTTTTTGATCTACGTGTTTGTGCCAAGTGTTTATTACATTTAACACGAAAATAATTATTTTATGAGGCCTCCCAAGATGACTGTTGCCTCAAATAGTGCTGCAAAGAAAAACTGGAAAGATGGCTGTTTGAAATTAAAAAAGAAGTGATACATAAAACAAGCGAGCGTGGTGTAAGAGTGACGGAATTGGCGAAGACTTACAGCCTTTCGACATCGACGATTTGCACTATTCTGAAGAAGGAAGGAAGAAATTAAAAAACTTGATGTAGACAAAGGAGTTACTGTTACTTCCAAGCACCGTCCAAAATTCCTAGATGTTGAGAAGCTGTTGTTAGTGTGGATTAACGAGAAGCAGCTAAAAGGTTGGTGTCAGAAGCTATCATAAAGGAAAACTACGGTTATATTATTTACCAGTGTTATTTATTAGAAAAATTAATTTTTATGTTGATATTTTGAGGGCTAGAGAACGGATTAACTGGATTTCCATTATTTTCAATAGGGAAGTTTGTTTCTAGATACTAGAAATTCGCTATGAGCTCAATGCTGGAACAAATTAAACTTCTATCTAGAGGTTCTACAATATAAATTAAATAAGTGTCAATAAAAGTAGTTCCATAAATGGAGATAATATTTACGGATTTGCATATAACCCTGCGTACTATCTATATAACAGATATAATGTTTTGATTAATTTGGGAAAGAATGATACAAGAAATAAAACTAAGTATGAATAAAAGAATGGACTTTTTAAAATTCAAACTAAAAATAAACTTCTGTTAAGAAACTAAATCACATTTGCAGAAATTTGGATAACTTCTAACAAATCTTTATTCAGAAAATACAAAATCATTCATTAAAGAGAACGCTAACACATGCATGCCACATAATACTTTTTATTAAATTATAAAATTCAAATAGCATTATTTAAAATTTATCAAACATGTTTTTACATACACTGGCATGCCAGATATGAATTTTGCCAAACAAAATCATACAATATACAAATTCAAAAAAGTTTACCAATATTATAATTACACATAACAAATTTTAAATCATTTTAAGTCTAGGAGAATTGTTAAAAATGGAATTACAGCCAACTTAACCACGTCCTCTCATAAAAAAGTTAAATCCTTATTGCAGAATAACTGAAAGTATCACAACCATGAATCATTACTATAAAACAAAACTGTCTGCAGGTTTTGTTTTACAGTAATGACTTAAAATGAAGAAGTTTGTTTTGCTACTAATAATAATAGTGAAAAAAAAAAAAAAAAAAAAAAAAAGAGAGAGAGAGAGGGGGCATGGGACAGCAGTAGTGATAGCACAATTCCCATACTATTTGGAAATTGTTTTTTTAATTAACAATACATAATTTAATTGTATATAATCTGAATAGATAACCATTCATTAACCTCTTCACTCCCAGCATATCATATATGACATGCTTCAGTTTCTCTTCATTGGTCTATCATATCAAATGGGACATGGGAGCAAAATGTCATTGCTGGTCACTGTATCACATTTGATATGCTGAAACAAAACATTTTATTTCAACTTTTAAATGTATGTAAATGATGTCAGAATGGTGAAATACCTGATTGATGGAATCGCTTGACTGTTAATCTTGTTATCACAAATATTATTTAAAACTTTTATTCTAAGAACATAAAACATGCAATGCTTGTAAACATCATTTAGAAATTAAAAATATTTCACAAAGTGCAAGCAGCTTAAGCTTTTTAATATAATTATTACAATAGGATGTAACAGGCAGTGATATATAAATTATTAAGATTTTTATATGATATATATTTATTCTGAGTTTTTATTTTAAGTATAATATTTCTTGTATAATATAAGAAATAAATTAAAAAACACATGACATCAGCACTCCAAGGTCATGGTGAACACTTCAGTCTCTCAACATTGAAAGCAAAGAGGTTAAGAGTGAATTTAACTTATGTAACCAAATGAACTTATTCTCCAGATTAAACTGCATGAAAATACAGTTAAATTGTTGATAATATAAATGTCTTTAATATTATTTGTGTACAATGCCTTAAATTTCAGTTAATAACATTTCAGATATCATCCAAGGATGAATTTTTTTTTTCACTTTAATTTGGTTGTGAAAAACATTCATTAATTTTCTTCCTAGGGGCCTGAATAAATATTTTTATGACTTGGAATTAGATATTCTACGTTCTAAACTGACAAGCCCTGTGTAAGATAATCCTGTTGCGTTTTTTTTTTTTTTTTTTTTTTGAAAAAATTTGCTATGCATTATTACTCACATTTCCCCCTTTTCTATATTTCTGAAAAAAATTAGAATTATGGATAGTGCATACCATTGCCAAATGTAAGGGTTGCAGAAAAACTACTTGATTAAAAACAGCATATGAAAATATAAATATGATATAAATTTCTATTACTGTACTCCATATTTCAAAGTAGTCAATTACATTTATTATTCTGCAATACTA